CACATACACACACGCTCCACCCCTCCATGCCCTCCAATGCTGGTTCCTAGGCTCTGGAACTGCAAAGACACACTTGAGCCAGTGAGATGGCCCAGAAGGGGTAAATCCTGCAAAAAGGAGCTAGAAGCCAGGGTGACCCCGAGAAGCCCAGAAATTTGAAGAATTTTCCAGAATGGGGGTTGGAGCCAGTGTCATCTAGAGTCAGGGCACATAGACCCTGGATGACATCTAGGGGTGGCGGAATGCAAAGAAAGGGATGAGGACAGGGAAGAAGTACAGGTAAGAAGAGGAGGAGGAGGAAGAGAGGGAGGAGGAAAAAGGCCAGGAGGGGAAAGAAAATAACAAAAAAAGACAAAAAGAGAGTTCTAGATTTACATTGTCCAATGTGACAGCTACAAGCCACATGAGGTTATGAAGCACTTCCCCTCACCACCCCCCTGCAAAAATAAGTACCAATAAAAAAGTAAAACATCTTCTTTCACATTGGTTACGTGTTGAAATAACATTTTGGAAATATTCCGGTACCTAAGTAGACTTTGAAAATTAATATGGCCTGTTTCTTTCCACATGGCTACTAGAATATCGGAAATGACACACACGCAGTTCCCCAGCTCTGCTCGAGAAAAAAGGCGGGAAAGAAACGCCTCAAATCACTGACATCAAGGAAGGGGAGGGAGAGACCTTAACTTCAACGATAAGCAGTGTCACGCAAACAGATGGTTTAATGAGAGGGGAAAGCAGAATTTGGGGTGGAGGAGCCCTCAGAATTGGGCTGAGGGGCCCATCAGCCTTAGAGGCTGAAGAAAGGGCTGGAGGCCGGTGGAGGCAGAGTGTTCTAGAAACCAACGCTAGAGTTTTCGCGCCCACAGGAACTCGGCAGCCCGGTGTGCCACATGACCACCTCCGCCCACCCCGGCTGCCGCTGATTGGCCCTGGTGAGGACACCTGACCCCAGCCGGACCAATAGGATTCTCACTATGTGGTGACGTGAGGTTGAATCCGTTTCCAGAGCCACGTGATGTACGGGGGCACCGCTGACCCCATGTTATGGGGGCGGGACTTAGCTCCCCTTCGAACCCGGGGTCACGTGGTTCTAAAACCACCGCTGTTAGGCACCCCCAGGACAGCAGTGCTTAGCAGCCCCCGGGCCACGGGGGCACCAAAACCCCCCGCATTCCACGGGGACATGCAGGAAAACGTTCTCCAGAGAAAAGGGAAGCAGATGGGGCGCAAGTTGGAAGCAAGCAGAGCTGGGGAAAAGCTGGCCAGGGAGAAACTCCCTGTGGCAAGATGCTGAAGTTCAGAGATACTTTAAGGGATGGTAACATCTTTGTGTCCCCCCCGCCCTCCAGAATGGAAGCTTCAAGTAAACAAGGACTCGGGAGCCTAACACATCAAAGGCACTGGCTAAATACTTGAAAGAATGAATGAATGTAAAATGTGAAAACATTTTTTCTATTCAATGCTGTATTCTAACACCTCTGAGAATTCAATACCCTCCTTAGACCTCAGCCAATGGGGGGCTGTTCTGGGCCCCGTTTTTTGAGAACTGCCTCCCACCCCCTGCAAAGAGAGGGGTCGCTGGGGCCAAGGGGTTGTGCAGCTCCCAGAATCCACACCTCCCTTGGAGATTATGCTCTGGGAATCTGTGCTGGGCAGAATAATGGCCCCCCTCAAAGACATCTACACCCTAATACCTGGAACCTGTGAGTATGTTACCTTAGATCACAAAAGAGACTCTGCAGATGTGATGTGAATTAAGGATCTTGAGATGGGAGATGATCCTGGATGATCTGGGTGGACTCTGTGTCATCACAAGCATCCTTATAAGAGGTAGGCAGGAGGGCCAGTCAGAGATGTGTCCATGGGAGGAGAGGCTGGAGGGATTTGGGATTGAGAGCCAAAGAATGTGGGCATTCTCTAGAAGCTGGAAAAGGTGAGGAAGCGGATTCAGGTGTAAAACACAAGGAGTCAGGCTCCCTCATGGAACCCTGATTCTTAACTGGACCTTAATTGCCTTTCAGTGTGTTAAGAAAGTATATCTGTCAAGGCAGGAGGACTCAATAAATTGAATGGGTTGCTAGCTTGATCTACGGAGTTTAGTGACATATATATGGTACGAGAGCCTCCATGTGTACTCTTGCACCAGGCCCCGCAAAGGTTTGCCTCCCAAAGCCTCAGTTAAAAAAAGACAAGTGTGTGACAAAACCCACCTGGTGTTAATGGTGTTTCAAGAGGGAGGGTAAGGGAGGAAGAAGTAATTCCACGGAGGGAGTGAGGTAGGGCAGAGAGAGCAGCAGTTACAGGAAACAAGATAAAGAAGAGGTGACTGATAAGGAAGTGCTGAAGTCCTCAGTATCAGAAATGAGAGGCTTGCAGGGAAGCACAGGGAGGACTCACAGAGACAAGGTGTGACACCCCAAAATTAAGAGAGGATGGAGCACTAAAGAAGGAAAAGGTGCAGGAGAGAACTTGCTAGGTGGCAAAATGCCTGTCTGTGAAAGCTGTTCTTCCCCCAGTAAAAAGCCAAAGACTTGCCAGAAGAAAATCCTCCACTTTTTCACCCTTCAGCTCCTCTCTTGCCTGGAACTAAGGATGGGCAGCCACTTTCTTGTGACCACGAGGCAACCAAAATGAGTGTGAAGGGCTAAGCTGCCAGCTTGGTGCAACAAAAATGTAGAAAGGACATTTGGATTGTTAATGTTATCTTTTTTGGTTTTTTTGAGATAGGTGTCTCACTCTGCCACCCAGGCTGGAGGGCAGTGGCACAGCTGATCATAGTTCACTGCAGCCTTGAACTCCTGGGCTTAAGAGATCCTCCTGCCTCAGCCTCCGAAGTAGCTAGGATTACAGGCATGAGCCACTGTGCCTGGCTAATTTTTAAAAAACTGTTTTTGTAGAGACCACGTCTTGCTATGTTGCCCAGGTCGATCTCGAACTCCTTGCCTCAAGCAATCCTCATGCCTGGGCCTCCCAAAACACTGGAATTACAGGTGTGAGCCACCACACAGCCCTCTTAATGGTAACTTTAAGCTATCATGCCAGCATTGGATTTCTTATTTTGAGAGAGAAAGAAACCTCTGTCTGTTTAAGCACTCCTAACTGATCGAGGAAACTGACCTATTTTGTTGACTATTGTTATCCAGTGCAGGAACTGTACCTGGCACAAAGTTTGTGCTTTTTAAAAATTTCTAAATAAATGAATGACTTTCACATTTCCACAAAGCCTAGCTTTACTTTCTGCCACTGGTTCTGAGAGACTCCCTGTATCTTTTTGATGACCCATCCATTTTACCTAAACAGGTTGGATGGGCTCTCTTTCTTGCAGCCTAATAATTCTAATCAAGACAGAAGGAAAACAAAGACCTGGTCAGGACTGGCTACTTGAGGGGTGAGCAGAGGGTGGGCCTTGGGCCAGGTGATCTAGATAACACGATGGCCTCCCCACCTCCCTCCATCCGTTCTCCACATGGCAGCATTTAAAAACAGAAATCAGATCACACCCTTCACTACTTTAAGCCTCCTCTCCCCATGGCTTCTCATTGCTCTTAAAATAAAGTCCAGGCCGGCACGGTGGCTCACGCCTGTAATCCTAGAACTCTGGGAGGCCGAGGCGGGCGGATTGCTCGAGGTCAGGAGTTCGAAATCAGCCTGAGCAAGACCGAGACCCCATCTCTACTATAAATACAAAGAAATTAATTGGCCAACTAATATATATAGAAAAAATTAGCCGGGCATGGTGGCGCATGCCTGTAGTCCCAGCTACCCGGGAGGCTGAGGCAGAAGGATCACTCGAGCCCAGGAGTTTGAGGTTGCTGTGAGCTAGGCTGATGCCACGGCACTCACTCTAGCCTGGGCAACAAAGTGAGACTCTGTCTCAAATAAATAAATAAAGTCCAGCCCTGACTGTGGCTTCAGGGGTCACGCCACATGTCCTCCCCTCATCTACCCTCTCACCTCAGCTCTCTTTCCTTCAGCCACACCCACCTCTGCTATTCCTCCAACAAACCAAGCCACACCTGCCTGAGGCCCTTTGCACGCCCCCTTCCCTCTGCCTGCAAAGCTTTCTCCATAAACCCACCTGGCTAGCTCCCTCAGCTCCTTCAGGGCTCTGCTCAGTGTCACCTCCTTCAAGAAGCCCACCCTGAACACCCTGGTGAAAATATCCCAGCCCAGCTACGCTCTAGCTCATCATCACTTTCTGAAATGGTCTTGCTGATTTTTCTGTTTTCATGTTTATGTTGTTCACTTCCCACCTCTGGACTCTAACTAAGCCCCCTGAGGTCAGGAGTTGTGGTCTATTTGTTCACTGCCTGGGATAAGAGCAGGAGATAAGAAAAGAAATGCATGGTGAGGGACTAAATAAATGACAGTGTTCTTGGGCTTAGCTTTGTTGTAATCTTGGGCTGCACTTTGGGGACCTGAACTTAACTTTAACCCTATGATTTGGGAAACTGATGTTAAAAAAATAAAAACATAATCCTAGTACTTGTTCCAGTGAGTTTAGGTTTAATGAGAATGAGAATGAAAAAAATAATGTCAGCAAACACTCACAGTGTGCCAGGCAGGAGCTGTTCTAAGTGTTCTGCATGGATTAAATAGTTTAATTCTTTTAATGACCTTGTGATCATTTTAATGGAGATGCTCTTGTTATTCACATTTTGTTGTTGTTGTTGTTATCCACATTTTACAGATGAGACACAGGTTCAGAATTTTTGAGTAACTTGCTCAAGATCACAAAGCGAAGAAGGGGCAGAGCCAGGATTTGAGCGCTGGCAGTTTGGACCCAGAATCTGTAACTACTGCATCCCTGAAAACATCACAGGGACCCTACTCATAGAAGGGGGAGTCCACTCCCACCCTCAATGACCTCTGCCCTCCATGCTGACCCACCCTGGGCTGACCTCTGGGGCTGATGATGAACCCTGACCTCTCACCACCTTTGAGCAGCCTCAGGACCCCCAGCAGTCCCCCATCCCCAGCCCCAAGTCTGCGCTGACCCTGCCTTGAGCTGAGTGAGCGCTTCCTCTACGCGGGGCTGGTTGTAGCGCACCATGTAGCTGTGCATGTCGGGATAGTTGCTGCGGATGTTTTTCTCCGTGGACCCGTTAGGCACAGTCCCAAACTTGAGGGGTGGGTACTGTTCCTGGGGCCGCTGGAACTGGGGCAGAATGGGGAGTCATTAGGTTGCCCTCCCCAGGGACATCTTGACCCAAATGCCCCATTCTCGGGGACACCCGCCATCTGACAGACACCCCAATCCCAGACGTACTTCTCAGATTTGCTCGCCCCAGTAGGAAACACTTTTCTGCTCCCACCCAGCACACACAGCTCCAGATAGGTAATCTGAAAGGTTACCTAAGAGAAGACTCTTAGAGGCCACTGATGTGTCACACATTAAGCCTTAACTTGCTGGATCTTGGGAGGTCCCCAGCGCAGGGGCTGGCATGACAGGGCTTGGAGGCAGTTGCTATTTGCCAATCTATTCAGAAATAGCTAACTATTTTAACAACAGAAGTAGCAGACAGGTGTGTGCTGCCTCAGCGTATGCGACTAAAACCATATGGCTGTATATGACTAAAACCAAAGTTTCATAAAGCCATCCTCACTCTTACTGCCTAAGATGCAGCCAACATATTTTCTGTTCTATTCCACTCCATTCCACTCAAGAAATATGCTTATTGCAACCCATCGAACTGATTTCTCAACCCTATGATAGGTCAGGACACCTGGTGAGTTAACCACTTTAGTCTCCAACTGAACAAACTGTGATTGTGGCGAGGTGAGTACAGACATGGATTGTGGGCATTTAGAGCAATGTGACGGGATTGTTTTATGTCTGTCAAATCTAATAATAAAAATTTGGGCTTGACTTTTGTATGTCTTGGTTTTAAATCTTATTTTACTTTTCTCGTATTCATTTCTGTTGTCCTTTACAAAAGCATTGGCTTTCCAATGAATTCGAAGTTTCAAACATTAGTCCTTCATCACAGTTTGAGTGAGAGAAGAGTGGTCTAGAATATCCCATTTGGCAGGACTGCCCCTAGAACATTTGGGGACACCATCTTCCCCTAGTACTATTTAAATAGTTCATGGTGAAACATATCCTTTCTCCTTCCAGAACATTCCATTCTACCATTCCGGAATTCTCCTTGGGAAGAGACCCCCCCTGCTCCCCAGAAATCCCCACTGACCTGCCACATGCAGTTCTCTATGACATCCAACCCTAGCTGCCCCCCAGCTCCCACACACACCTTGCGGTCACTGAGCCCAGACACGGTGTCCACGTACTCCTCCTGGATCATGAAGGCGGCCAGGTTGGCTGTGTAGCTGGCGAGGAAGATGACGGCGAAGAAGGCCCACACCAGCACCATGATTTTGCTGGTGGTTCCCCGGGGGTTCTCCACAGGCACCGAGTTATTGAACACCAGGGCCCAGAGCAGCCAGATGGATTTCCCAATGGTGAAGGTTGAGCCACCAGGGCCTGCAGGGGGCCAGGATGGGGACATGGACCCCAAATCCCTTCTGCTCAAGAAGGGAGCAGGAAGAACTACAATTCCCAGTGGCCCCTGGGGTCCCTGCCACCTTAAGAGATCATAGCTCCACCCCAGGGACTGCTGGGAAATGTAGTTCTGTCTATGGCCCGGGCACTGAGGTAGGGTGATGGAAAGTTGAGGAAGGGGACTCACGCTTGCCCGTGGCCAGGCTGCGGTTGTAGCCCACGGGACTGAGGTACTCGAAGATGAAAACAGTGACGGCGACCACAGTGAGGCACATGACGAACATCATCACCCACACGGCGGGGCTGTAGGGTTCTGGGGACAAGGAGGGGTGTGTGATCATGGCTTAGCCCAGCGAAGGATTGGGGGGACCACAGATGTGTAAGCGAACTGCAGCCCAGACCTGGCCCTGTCCTATCTGTCCATTTCTATGGTTCCCACCTCCGAGACAGCACTATTTGCCCACCCAGAACCCTGGGAGGCAGTGTCTCTCAAAGAGTGCCATCACAACCATTTCTGTGGTTTCCACCACCAAATATAAACTGTTTCTTCAGTGTCTCCTGAGCCCCAAACCTGAGGCTCCACCTCCCCCTGGCCATCCTCCAGGCCATTCCTCACGTTCCAGGCTGAGCCCAGATCAGCTCCTAGGCCCCCCATTTGGGGAGCTTCACTGTCCTCTCGGTCACAGGCCCAAGCCCCACTTGCCAGCCTCACTCACTCCCTCTCTGCCACAGCTTGTCAGTCCCCAGCCCCGTGCTCCTGCCCCGATGCTACTTGGGCCCGTCCTCTCCATTCTCATGGCCAGCACGGCTCAGGCCCTGTCTCCTCCCCTGACCTTCTCCCAACCTCTCGACCCCCAGTCTCTCCCTGCCAGCCCGATCCACACACAGCCCAGGGATGACCCTGCCACGCCCCTTAAAGCCATGCCAGGGCTCCCAAGCACCCCAGAACAAAGTCCCTGCCATTCTGCTTTGTCCTATTCTCACTGGCCTGATCACTCTCTCAAGCATCCATGCTTTAAACACCGGAACTCACAGCTGACCCTGTGAGCCAAACCCTCTCTGCCTTGTCTCCTCAGCTCTCCTGCCAGAGATGCCACCCTCAACTGTCCATCAGACAACCTCTCTATTCATGTGTCCCTTCCTCACATTCAATAACTGGGTGTCACCCCTGGGAGCTCGCTGACAATAAACCAAAATCACCATTTCCTTGAGATTCGTACCAGGTGATTCAACCTCCCAGGGCCAAGTATGAGCTGCCAAGACTACGTCTGTCACAACAAGGTCATCACCCTGGACTGTCACTGCGGCATCCGGGGTCGTGCCTGTCACCTCTGCTGGGCAACTTGGTGGGGCGTAAACAAGACCTTGTCACTGCCCTGCTATGTGCTGCCCGAGAGCAGGGGCCCCACGTGGTGCTTCTCAGTGGGCCCTGCAGGGACCTCGGTGCACAGAGGAGGCCACGGGAGGCATTGTGGAGGGAAATATATACAGAACACAGAACAAAAGGAAGGATGTCTCTTCTTCCAGCCCCTCCCGCCTCCCAGGAGCTTTGCTCCGGCTTCAGAGAGCAAGCAGGAACTGACGTGAACTGTCACCCTTGGCCTGATGTACACTTCTGTCTTCTCCAGGTCAGGAAATGGGACCTCTTCCCAATCCACCTTGAAGACACCAGCCCATCTGGTGGCAGCTTCCTACCCATACCCCGAGTCTGTCTACTTGTCCACCCCCACTGCCACCTTCCTATCGCTCACCTATCCCTTCTCTTGCACGGACCGCTGCAGTAGCCTCCTCACAAGCCTGCTGCTTCCACAGAGATACCATTAACCTGATCGTCTCTCCCCATGCCAACTTCCATAGTAAAAGCCTTACCATTGCGACAGGAGTGAAACCCAAACTTCCTACCATGGTGTCCACGGCCCTGCCAGATCTGCCCTGTTCCCTCTCAGCCCTCCTGCGCTCCTCACTCCCCCTCAGATCACACAGGCCCAGCTGCTTCACAAACACTCTGCACACATCCCTGCCTTGGCCCTGTGCCCTTGCTGTTCCCTCTGCCTGGAATGCTTTTCCAGCCAGACCTCTGCAGGGCTGGGTCCCCTCCTCACAGGGCCTCTCCTGCCCACCCGCACCCGCACCAGCCTTATTCCTGTCTAGCTCTACACCCTGGTTCAGTTCCTCACGGTATTTATCACCACCTGAGTGATCTTGTCTATGCATCCCTTTAAGGGTTTATTTCCTGTCCCAGCCATGAGGCTGAGAGCTCCTGGATGGCAGGAATTTGTGTCTGCTTCATTCACCACTGTGTTCCCAGCATGGAGCACAGCGCCTGGCACCGAGTAGGTGCTCAATAAACACTGGTGGGTAACTTGCGTGCTCGCAGTGTGCTGGGACTGTGCTAATCTATTCTTTTCATCTCATACCTAGGTACAGACACTTGGGTTTTGTGGGTCCTGTGGCTTACACAATTCGGAGGGCTCTCTTTAAGACAAAAGAACACATAATGAATACAAAACCAGGTGCAAGGTGGTGCAAGAGAAGGCTCCTGAGCTCAAGCTTCTTTAGCTTTATGGTAAAATTCCTTCTGGTATGGGACATTATTTCTTCCATCTTGCAAATAAGGAAACTGAGGCTCCAAAGTGATGTCACTTCACTAGAGTAAAACGGCCAGTACAGATGGTACCGGGATTTGAACCCAAGTTTCCTGACCCTAGGGCCAGCATGGCTGGGGGCACTTGCTCCAGCTTTCCCTAGGTCTGGCTCCCTGTCCTAGGGCCCCAGCTCACCTAGGAAGGCCGAGGGGGACACGGTGCCATTGCTGCGCGCCACCATGACGCTGATGCCCGTCTCTACGAAGGGAACAGAGAAGTCCACGATCTCAGACCGCTCCTCGTTGATGGTGAGAGAGCCAATGGCCATGTCCGCACGCTGGTAGAACACCTGGGGTGGGAGCGAGGAGTGGGTGAGGGGACCTGGATCAGGCGGGCAAAGACCAGCTCGCGGGAGGAGGCCAGTGACAGGGTGAAAGAGAGGGCCGTTTTTGGCCATGCCACCCTCAACAACGCGCCCGATCTCATCTGATCTGCAAAGCTAAACAGGGTCGGGCCTGGTCAGTGCTTGGATGGGAAAGGGCCAAGAGGGATGGCGGGGTGGATGAGGAGGGGACCCAGAGTGGGGCAGGGAAATGTGGAAGGGAGAGACTGGGAGCAGGACTGGGGAGAGCCAGGCCCCAGCCCCACCCTGCTGCTCCCATCAAGTTCTCTTGAGGTCCAGGCTCTTCCCTCCCGGGCCCACCCGCTTCCCCTAGGAGTTCCGCCCTCCGAGCCCCGCCTCCTCTGCCCCCCAAGTCCCTCCTGCTGGCCCCGCCCCGTTGCTTCCTGACTCCGCCCCGTCTCAAGGCGTGTCCTTCTTGAGGCCCCGCCCCGAGTTAGGCGTTCCCTGCCTCTGGCCACGCCCTCAGCCCCTCGGGTGCCTGCTTCGAGGACCCTGCCCAGAAGCTCCGCCTCCCCCAGCCTGTGCCCGGCTCACCTCGCCGATCATGCCGTTCCAGACGCCGTCGATCTTCTTCCCGTGCTTGCCGTTGGTGACCAGGTAGAGGTCGTAGCTGAAGCCGATCGTGTGCGCCAGCCGCTTCAGAATGTCGATGCAGAAGCCCTTGCAGCACCGCTTCTCCGGGCGGGGGGCATCCAGGGGAGGGCTGCGGGAGCGACCAGGCTTGGGGAGTTTGGGGACCCCCTTCTTAGACTCTCCCCTGAGACAAGGGTGTGGAGGTAGGGACAGGCAGCAGCTAAAACTTGGGTTAGCGCTTTCTGGGGAAACTGAGGCTCAAAGGAGTTATGCGCGCCAAGCTGGAGGGGTTTGTGGGCCCTGGGTCCCCAGGGAGGAGAGCGGTCGGGGCCAGGACTACTGGGCTTCAAGGGAGGAGGGTTTTGAAGCTGGAATTCCTGGGTCTTGGGCTGTCACCTGTGGGTCCGGTTGAGCTGGGTCCGGCAGGGGACTGAGTCTCGGATGCAAGTGCCACTGATGGGGTCTGCAGGCTCCACAATGACAAAGGGCCTCTCCTCCAGTGTGGCCACCGTGAGGTGCTGCGTGTCATCCACTGGCTGTAGGAAGCGACCATAGCGGGACCACAGCGGGTACTTGAGGCGGAGAGTCTTCTGCTCCCAGCTGCCCACCTTGGCCAAATGAAAAGAGAGTCAGGCTTCCTGGGGGCACCTTCCAGTGTGTCCTGGCCTCCATGTCCCTGCTCCCCAAGACCTAGGAGTGTAGGCACCATCTCCCCCAGGACCCAAAAGTCCAGGCTCCCAGCCCCCTCCTCCCTCAGATTCCAGGGTCTCAGGCCCCTCCTCTGCCAGGACCCAGGAGCCCAGGCCTTGTCCCATGGCTGAGGTCTGGGCCACCACTCACCACCTCCCACGTCCTGTCTCTGGTGAGGGAGATGACCACCAGGGAGGGGTTCACCAGGAAGCCATCCTCATTGAAGGAGTAATCCCGGTTATCCCAGGTAATGTTCATGAAGTACCTGCCCAGAAAGAAGGGAGGGGGACATGTGGGGACATGTCAGCTGGATCTTGGCAGCTGAAGGCTTAGGAAGTCTCCTTTCTACTGACCAGCTCCAGCCTCCAGCTGAAATCTCTCCTGCTTCACCTCCAAGATCTCAAACACACAAATATGACCCTACTCAGCACCCTTTCCGTGGCTGGCCAGTGTCCCCAGGATAAGGTCAGACTCTCAGGTTGAAGTTGAGGCCCTAGAGTCCCTTTGTGTTCTGGCCCCACCTGCCTCTGAAGCCCCATCTCTCATCACTTCCCACCTTCAAATTCTTCCCTCCCAAAAACCCTTTTATTGCTCTGTCAACACTGCATGCGAGGTATCTCTCAGACATGTCAAGTGAGTTCCTATCTCTAGGCCTTTGCAGCTGGTGGCTTTGTCTGCCTGGAAAACGCTTATACCACCCTTCTCATCCTGACCAACTCTTCTGTGTCTTAGAGACTCAGCTCAAATGTCCCTTCTGCTGGGAAGAAGCACTGGTGGGGTGGTCCCTGGACTCCCAGATATCTTTTTTTTTGAGACAGAGTCTCACTTTGTTGCTCAGGCTAGAGTGAGTGCTGTGGCGTCAGCCTAGCTCACAGCAATCTCAAATTCCTGGGCTCAAGCGATCCTTCTGTCTCAGCCTCCCAAGTAGCTGGGACTACAGGCATGAGCCACCATGCCCGGCTAATTTTTTCTATATATATTAGTTGGCCAATTAATTTCTTTCTATTTATAGTAGAGACGGGGTCTCGCTCTTGCTCAGGCTGGTTTCGAACTCCTGACCTCAAGCAATCCGCCCACCTCAGCCTCCCAGAATGCTAGGATTACAGGCGTGAGCCACCACGCCAGGCCTCCAGATTTCTTATCTATGCAACATCATCTGTGCTCTGACTGCCTCTCATGTCAACCACCCGGTCACTCTCAACTGCCTTCCTCACTCCCCCACCCCAAGCCCCATCCCTCCTGCCCTAGGACTGTCTCTGTCCAGTCTTCTCCTCTCCCTCCCCACAGCCCTCCTGGACCTCACCCCAGCCTCCTGCTTGGCTTTCAGCCTCCAATCTCTCTCCCAGTCTGTACCCCACTGGCCCCAGAGGGCTCTGTCCACACCCAAAACTGACTCCACTCCTCCCCTGCTCAGAGCTCACCCCTGGCTAGCCAGTGCCCTGGAACAAAGTCTAAGCCTCTCAACCTGGCATTGAAGGCAAAGGCCTGGTGCCACTCACCTCCTGAGCCTCATCACCTCTGGCCCCTAATTCTACTGCCTTCATCCGCTCTCAACTATTGTGGTCCCACCGAGCTGCCCAAGTTTCTCTCACCCTCTGGGCTTTTGCACATGCTATTCCCCCTGCCTGGAACACTATTTCTGGTGAACTCCCCACCATTCCTGGAATCAAGTCTAAACCTCTCCTCCTGGCCTAACGGCCCTATGTGAGCCGGACCCTCATGTCTCTCTGTCCCCTACTCATTCCTTCATCCCCCTTGCCCTCTATGCTGCAGCCACACTGGCGTTTCAGGCTCCCAGACAGCCAAGCTTTGGTTTAGATGTCCATCCCCTCCAAAACACATGTTTAAATGTAACTGCCATGGTGACAGTATTGGGAAGTGGGACCTTTAAGAGGTGTTTAAGTCATGAGGACTCCAGCACCCTCACGAATGGACTAAAGCTGTTATTGTGGGAGTGGGCTCACCTCCCTCTTCCCCCTTCTCTCTTTGCCCGTCTGCCATGGAATGTTGCAGCAAGAAGGCCCTCACCAGATGCCGACATTTTGACATTGGACTTCCCAGCCTCCAGAACCATGAGGCAGTAAACTTCTGTTTCTTGTAAATGACCCAGTCTATGATATTCTGTTATAGCAGCACAAAACAGAATACAAGAAAGTTCCAGCCCCAGGGCCTTTGCACCTGCGGTTCACTCTCCCTTTACTCATCTTCCAGTGCTTGGCTCCCTCTTTTTATCCATTTTTTTTTTTAATCTCCAGATTTCACCTACTCAGAAAGGCCTTTCCTGACCACCTAGCCAAGCCCCCTAGGCATTTCTTATCCCATTCCCCCTGTTTGATTTGCGTCTCAGAAGTTATCAGCTGCTGCTATCTTCCTCTTTCTTTTCTTGGTTGTTCAGTGCTTTTCTCCCCTATTAGTCCTGCAAGTCCTGCGACAGCAGGGACCTTACTGAACACTAAAGCAGTGGTTGGCATTAGACTTCCCAGCCTCCAGAACCATGTAGACTTTTGATAAAGGGCTTTTCAATGAATAAATTAATGAATGAACAATTAATCCTTCGGGTCTCAGATATCTCCTCTTCCTAGAAACCTTCCAGACTCCACAGGCTGACCTGTGACCTATGACCTGAGAACCCTGCTCTGGAAGGCCGACTGAGGCCGGTGCATTTCCTCTCTTGGGTTGACGTTTTGCTATGAGATCTGGAGGGATGGGTGCCGGCCAGGAAGGGCTGAACTTATGAAGGAGCACAAATTCTGGGTAAAGAACCAAACAGCCTCTGGGAGAGGCAAGCCAGAGAGAGAAAGACAGACAGACAGACAGACAGAGAGACAGAGGGCAGGAATTAAGAAGACAGAATCAGGCCGGGCGCGATGGCTCACGCCTGTAATCCTAGCTCTCTGGGAGGCCGAGGCGGGAGGATTGCTCGAGGTCAGGAGTTCGAAACCAGCCTGAGCAAGAGCGAGACCCCGTCTCTACTATAAATAGAAAGAAACTAATTGGCCAACTAATATATATAGAAAAAATTAGCCGGGCATGGTGGCTCATGCCTGTAGTCCCAGCTACTTGGGAGGCTGAGACAGAAGGATCGCTTGAGCCCAGGAGTTTAGGTTGCTGTGAGCTAGGCTGATGCCACGGCACTCACTCTAGCCTGGGCAACAAAGCGAGACTCTGTCTCAAAAAAAAAAAAAAAAAGAAGACAGAATCAGGAAGAGATGGAAGAGTAGTTGGCTCCCAGCTTCGCCTCAATTCCTGACTTCTGAATTCCTATGTGTGTTTGTCTTTCCAATAAGCCCCCTTTTCCCCCGAGGAAACTCAGAATGAGACACTCCTTGCAACCAAAAACGTCCTGGCTTAGACAGTCCTCCCTGGCGCCCCCATGATGTCCGCGCTCCCTCCATTACTGCAAGTGTCACGCAGCGTCGTCATTATCCCCATCCCTGTCTGCCAGCCCTACAGGACCCTGCGCTCTTTGAAGAATAAGTCATGGTCTTATTCATCCCTGTGTTCCCAGTGCTCAGCGTGAGCCCTAGTTCCTAGCGGGTGCTCAGTAAGTATTTATGAACAAGCGATTCTTTTCTCGCCCTCTTGTTCTGAGATCCTGATTCCTAACTCACCGGTTCTCAATTCTCCTCCCTGAGGTCTCCTTCCCTACCCATCACTTCCTCCCAAACTCACTTCATCCTCGTTCAGGATTAAAGGCCTCTCCTGCCACTGCTCTGTCACCAAACGCATCAGTTTCCCCACTCGGAGCTTCCCATGGTAGACATGCTGTTTCCCACCAAACTCTGTCCTTCTCTTCTAAAATAACAGCATGTAAGCCGGGTACCCGACTGTCCAGCCAGGGCAGACATTTCCCAGCCTTCCTTGCGGCTCGCCCGGGCCATGAGCAGGAGCCATATTCAAATATCCAGCAATCAGTACAGCACATGCACTAGCCAATCAGAACAGACACCACTGTAAACAACCAGTAAATCAGCACTAAACGCGTGACTATGTTCTCAACAATAGGGTGTGAGATGTAGCCCTTCTGCCTCACATAATCAAAAGAAAATTGCTCTCCGTTTCCCCTCTTTCCCTGTTCTCATGAGCCACAATTCAGACAGGACCGTGGCCCAGCTTCCTCTGCACAGAGATGCCCGAGCTGCAGGGTGGGAGGATCCTGGGTCCCTGAATGATCACACGGAGCAGCAACCTCCCAGCAAGCAGGACCGCTCATCTCCAGGGTGTTATACAAGAGAGGGACAAATTTATCCTCATTTGGGCCACTGGATGATTGGGTCTTTCTTGCTACTGAAACTCAGCTCATATTCTATGTATTTCACAGAATCTAAGATCACATAATCTATCGATTGTAAGATGTGCCGCTATTTTTATGTACCACAAAGAAAGAAAAAGTGCTTCCAATTAAACCACGATAAGCCATTAATTATAAGAAACATCTTGATTTCAAAGACGTTAAAATTATGCATCTTAGAGTCATGAAATAGAGTAATACATTCACTGAGTATCAGGTGCTTTTCCCAAATTGCCTGATTTAACCTCCGAAAAGAGACCTAATTACTCCTGTTTTACAGAAAAGAAAACTGAGTTTCGAAGACGGGATACAACCCATTTGAGGCCACTCGCCAGTGAGTTCTCCAGGCAGTCAGGCTCTGGAAGCCCTCCACACCCCTCCCATGCCAGCCCCACTCACCTGTGCAGACTCTCCCCGCGGTGGGTGCGGTTCTGGGCACGACAGTCGTGGCCGAGCTCAGGCAGGAAACCATAGTCACGCAGCAGGGCCTGGGCACCTCTGGCCACGACAGCCACACCGGCTGCCACACGCCGGGCCAAGTCATCCCGCCAGCCAGCTGAGCGCACTGCAAACAGCCCGGAAGGCAGGGGGGCGCCTCCTGGCAGAAGAGGGGGCTCACCAGGGGCCCCGGAGCCCCCGCCTCCAGCCAGCTGGGGCCCCACCATAAACCAGACGTAGCCAGACCCAGTGAGGCCGGCCTCCTCGGCTGCCCGGAACACAGGCTCGGCCTCCTCGCGAGCACAGAAGAGCAGGCGGATCTGAGCGCTGACGCTGCGGAGCTGGGCGCTCAGCACGGCCTCGCCAGCCCCAGGGTCCAGCGTCAGCGCTCCGCGGTGCTCCCAGCCCACCAGGCTGCCGTCGGTCAGCACCTCTATGTAGGACAGGAAGGCGCGATGGCCGGGGGCACGCGTGGTCACCGCTACAAAGGACGTCCAGTCGTACTCCTCCAGCACCTCAAAGATGACCTGAAGCTGTTGCTCGGTGGAGGAGCCCAGCTGCAGGAAGGTGGAGCCCTTCTCCTGCCCGGGAGGGAGGAGGATGTCAGGCCTGCAGATGGGGGGACCTCATCTCCCAGCGAGCTGTTCACTAACCCTGTCTCTTTTACCTCCTGGCTAGATCTGGGTTTAGGTTCAGCTACCTGACTGAGTCTTCTAGACTCACCCATTAAAACTCTTTCTCATAAACCTTACTCTCTTCCCTGTCTGAGGGCAAATGTAGACGCCCCAGAAGAGAACTCTGAAGTCCTAGGGGATTACAGAGCCACACGAGGGAAGGAGCCTGAGCCCCTGAATCACCACATGGATAAGAGCCACCTTGAATTGGAGCATCTGTTTGGATTTTTTTTTAAATTTATTTGTTTGTTTATTTTTTAGAGACAAGGTCTCACTCTGTTGCCCAGGCTGGAGTGCAATGGTGCAATCATAGCTCACTGCAGCCTTGAACTCCAGGGCTGAAGTGATCTTTCCCGCCTCAGCCTTCCAAGTAGCCTAGGAATACAGGTGCATGCCATCACACCTGGCTAATTTTTAAATTTTTTCGTAGGGACGGGGACTTGCTATGTTGCCCAGCTGGTCTTGAATGCCCAGGCTCAAGAGATCCTCCCACGTCAGTCCCCTCAAATGCTGGGATTACACGCATGAGCCACAGCGCTCAGCCCTGTTTGAATTTTATGTAAACGAGAAACAACTTTCTATCAGGTTGAGCCACTGAGATTTGGAGGTTTATCTGTTACAGCAGCTAATCATCACTGTCATCAATACTCTCAGCATCCAGTGGGGGAACTACAGCCCCCAGCATGCACTGAGAGGGACCAGTTCTCCATATAGTGAGGGAGATTACATCTCCCAGCATGCAATGAGGGTAAGTACTCCTCCAACCGGAAGATACAGCTTGCTGAGTGGATTTTCCCTTCTTTGGTTTTCCTTCCCCCTCCCTGTCCCCTCCTCTGTCTCCTTGGCTGGACCCTTTTCCTCAGCCCAAATTCTGAATGCATTATAGTAGCGCCCTAAGGTTCTCTTTTCTTTTCTGTCCTCTCCCTGAGGATCTCATCCAGACACATTGGTTTAAATACTGTTTCCCGCATTATCCAATATGGCAGCCATGAGCTACACATAGCTATTCCATTTTAAATTAATGAAAATTAAATAAAATTTGAAATTTAGTTCTCTGGTTGCATTAACCACATATCAAGCATTCAACAGCCACATGAAGCTTGGGGCTATCATATCGGACAGAGCAAATATAGATGCCCTTCGTCACTGCAGAAAGTTCTGTTGGACAGCACTGGAGATGCTGATGGTGCCTGTCCTCAGTCACAGCCTTTCCCGAGAGCTCTGGACAAACCTATCCCCTCTTTTATTCAATGTCTCCCCTTGGATTTCCAAGAGGCATCTCAAAATTATCATGTCAAAACCAGAACACTGGATCTTACCCCACCTCTAACCTGTTCCCTGTCGTCTTTCCCTTATGCATCCTGATGCGTAGGCCCCAAACCCAAATCAGCCTTTCCCTGTCTTTCCCTCATACCCCCATCTAGCTGTCCCCAAATCTTCTTGGCTCTATGTTCAAACATAATCGTCATTGTCTATTCCTCAGTGCCATCACTGCCTCAACCCTCATCGTCACCACTTTCTTGCCCAGACATCTATGGCTTTCCATCCCAACTCTGCTTCCAACCTTGCATCTTCCAGTCCATTCTCCAAACAGCAGCCAGAGTGATCATTTCAAAATATTAATTGGATCACATCCCTTTTTGGTTGAAAACCTTCCAATGATTCTACCTCAGAATCAAAGCCAAAGTCTCCGCCGTGGCCTACAAGGCCCTGCATGAACTGGGCCCTGTTGCTTCTCTGACCTCATCTCCTACCACCCCAACCCCAACACTCCTCCTTGCTCTTCCCAAAGCATGCCAAGCTCTTTCCCGCTATAAGGGCTTTGCCCTCAGCTGTTGCCTCCTCTGGTGACACTTTCCCCCAGCTCCTCCCTGCTGGACCTACCCCTCCTCATTCCTCAGGTCCAGCTCAGGTGTCACCTCCTCCCCTGATTGTCATCTATTGAAGTCCCAGCCTGTCGATTTCCTCCAGGACAGATTTTACTGTTACTTGTTTTGTCTGTCTCCCCATTGGAATGCAAGCTCCCTAAGGCAGGGACTGTGTCTTTCCCCCCCAGAACTATAGAGAACTTAAAACAGCCCTGGCACAGAATCAGCCCTCAATAAATCTTCCTGTAATGCAATGAGAACAGCAAGCGGAATTCCTCCTAAGCGTGTGCCTATGATTATATGTTTAGGGGACAGGACAGTTGTCCTGAGGGGATGAGATCTCCCAGCCTGTAATGAGAACACCAAGAGGGCTTCGTCCTTCAGCAGGTGGAGGTGTGCTGAGGGGACCATGTTCCCAGCATTCAATGGGGCACAGATAGAGCTGTGAAGACTATTTTTTCTTCTATTTAGGGACAGCGAAGGGACATTTCCCAGAAGGTATGGGTGTACACTGAGTAGACCACAGTGCTCAGCAGACAATGACAAAGAGTGGACTGCACTTCCCATCAGCAATGGAGGCACTAGGGACCACATCTCTGAGTCTGCCACGGAGGTGGCAGCCAGGAAATTATAAGTTCACCTGCCAGGTAATCTGCCCACAAATGTCTGGACAACACCATGCCACTGAGAACAAGAAAGCTGGACAGAGAGGTCCTTCTCAGAACGTTCTGGACAGAACTACAATAGTGATCCAGTCACAGAGCCACAGGCCCCACAGTAGGGAATTGGCAGACTCAGGCTTCACCCACTCAGGTGGCTCCACCCTCCAGCAAGCGCCACCTCTCTGTCCCACGGGCTCCTCCCCTGAATAGGCCCCGCCCCGTCTCAGGCTCCTCCTCTCACAGGATGGCTCCGCCCTCCCACGCAGGCCTCTAGACCCTGTGCTCGGCGGGCCGAGCCCCTCCCCAGCCCCTGTCCTGCAGTACTGGATACCCCTCGTCACGGTCCCCGGCCCTGCCTGGCTCCCACCTCTCCACTAGACTTAGCCCTTTTCTGAATGCCATTCCTTTCCAGCTGACTTCTCCCCTCGCTGATCCCAGACCCACCCCTCCCTCATATTTTGCCATCTTGGGCTGGTCCCTTTTGGTCCCCAGTCCCCGCCCCTCGCTCGCCTTTCCCGCAGGCCCGCACCCGCAGTGACTGGGCCCGCGTCCTCCCCATGCCCTGATCATCGACGACTGGCCTCTCTGACCCCGCTTCGAGGTGGGTCTCCCGGAGGCCCCGCTGGTCCTGTAGGCCACGCCCCTTCGCGTCAGCCCTACCTCTTACCCAGGCCTAACCCGGACCCCCTGGCCCCACGCCGTCCCACAGGACTGTCCCCGCCCCCTCCAAGGCCACACCCTCCGCCCAGGCCCCGCCCCGCCCTGGCCCCGCCCCGCCCCCGGTCGCGCGCACCTTGGGCGTGAGCACGAGCGCGGCGCCGCCGTGCACGGCCACGATGGGCAGCGAGGTCTGCGCCGACAGGAAGTCGAGGATGGGCGCGACGGCGGGCGCGCGCGAGTCGTCCTCGAAGACGACGCCGTGCACGCGCAGCCCCGACAGCAGGTCGCAGAGCTGCAGCACGAGGCTGCGCGGGTCCGAGCCGTTGAGCACCAGCGCCACGGGCCGCACGTCCAGGCCCGGGCTGCGCACGGCCGCCGCCACGGCCGGCCCCAGGCGCGCCGCCTCGGCCGCGTACGCGGGCCCCGAGAACACCAGCGCCACGTTGAGCGGCCGCGCCCCGCCGGGGACCCCGCCGGGCCCGCCGGCCCCGCCCGGCCCCGGCGCCTCCTCCGGGAACGGGCTGGCGCAGGCCAGCGCCAGCAGCAGCAACATCTTAGCGGGGCCCCGAGGGCCGCGGGGGCCACCGGCACCGCGCATCGCCTGCGGGCCCCGCCGGGCAGCCTCTGAGCGCCCGGGCCCGCGAGAGACACGGCAGGAGAGGCAGGAGCGGAGAGCACAGACAGACACAGACGGGGAGACGCAGAGACAGGGAGACAAGATGTTGAAAGAGATGCACAGAAGAGATATGGGGGAGAGAGGAGGGAGAAAGGTTGGGGTGACGGAGACAGACACGGAGGGGGGGACACACAGGCAGAAGGAGAGACACGGTGGGGGAAGGTGGAAGGGAGATGTGGGGAAGAGACGCCAAACACATAGGGGGAGGTGTGGGGGGTGAAAGAGGGAGAGACACAGAGACAGGGAGAAATAGGGAGAAGTGGAGTATGGGGGAGACAGCCAGGGGTGGGTGATGGAGTCAGCAAGATACAGAGGTGAGGAGAGGGAAAGAGATAGGGAGGGGACGACAATGAGACCGATGGGAAAGAGACCCACAGAGATGGGATCAAAATAGGAGCAGGGAGATAGGAGGGGAAATGGAAACAGCAGTAGAGGTGGGAATGAGTGATGGAAGGAGGAACAGAGACAGGGAGAAGAGGGAAAGGGGGAAGACAGTGCGACAGAAATAGGGAGCGAGGGAGACCCAGGGAGAGGACGGCAGAGTGGGGATAGACGCAGGGAGACGGGAGAGATAAGGGAGACAAGAAAGTTAGAGAGGAAGATGGAAAGAGAACCACGAAGACAGAGACAGACCCCAAGGCCACCAAGAGACGCGCACACATGAGAGATGGGGAAACAGAATTGAGATTGAGGGAGGCAGGCAGAGCAGAGAGAAACACAGGAAGACAGAAATAGCGAGGCAAGGCAAAGATCGAGACCCCCACCAGGGAGGTGCCCAGCACAGACATGAAAGGAAGGCAGGGAAGGCAAGTGACAGGAGGGAGCAAAAATAAAAAGGAGAAAAAGGGAGAAAAAAAAAATGAGAGAGGGAAAAGGGGTCAGGTGTGTGGGGAGAGAGAAAGAAAGAGAAGGAGAAATTAGTGGGGCACCCCGAGGAGAGAAAGTGCCCCCACAACCATACCCCTCGCCCCAACCACAGCCCCCAACCCATTTTTCTCCCTTTACTCCTGTCCCTGTCTCCCACATTCTCAATGAGAGTGAGAAAGAGAGTCATGGCCCAGGCTGGGATGCAGGGTTGGGGGCACAGCTGTGGAGAGCTGGGAGGGGGGTCCCTGGCACCCAGCCTGGAGCAATTTAGTAAATTAGAGGAAATACAGCATCTCATCTCTTCCTGTGCCCCCTGTTGAATACTTGCCGCCTGGGGTGCTTGGGCTGGGAGCCCAGGCTCCTGGGTCCTGCCTGGGTCTGAGGGAGGAGGGCACTGGGGGGTCTGGCTTCCTAGCTCCCAGAGAGGGAAGGGAGCCTGTGCTAGGGGCTTCCTAAAGGGGTGAGGGTCCAGGCAGGGAAGGGTTGTCTCTTGGCTGTCAGTCAGTCTCTTGTCCGGTTGCCATGGTAGCGCAGGCCTCGTCCACCCCACAGACAGTCAGGGTGGGGGAAAGGCCCACACCCTCTCCCCTGCCCAGAGGTCTCCTCCCCTCCCCCACCCCACCCCTCAGAGATCCTGGGCCACTGTCTCCCCTGGGAAGGGGGTGGGGGCTCCTAGCATGCCCATCCCTCCCAAATCCTGGCTCCTCTTCGCCCCTCCTCTCCATTGCCCTTCCCCAAGCAGCTGGCTCAATCAGTGCTCAGAATAACCCCCCCTCCACCCCAAAATAACCCACAGCTGTGGCCTGGTCCCCGCGGGGTTAACTCTCGCTCTCCCCTCCCTTCCTGGTGGCTGCTCAGCCCCCAGCCCCTCCTCTGCCTCTCTCAGACCCACCCCTGCCTGGCCTCTGCCCTTAGGGTCCTCAGGGTCCTGCTCCCTGCTGAGGCCCAGGAGGGCAGCCTCCAGCCCCACCCTTCTCAGGAGGCTGGATGCCCAGTCCTCTCCCACGGGGATTTGGGAGTGCAGTCCCCTACCCCTCCAGGGACCGAGAAGTGGCAGCTCCAGTCCTCCAGGACTCTGGAGGCCCAGTCTCCAGAACCCGCTCCCTCCGGGATCACAGGGACCTGGCTCCCGTCTCCAACCGCTCATGCCACCTACACCGAGGCTAAGGAGTCCAGACCCCGGTCCCCTGCCCAGACTCAGGAGACTGAGGCCCCGGCCCCTCCTCCCTCAGACACAGAAGCCCTATCCTCCAACTTCTCCCATAAACACGCAGGAGTCCTGCCATCAGCCCCTTCCTCCCCCAGGACTCCGGAGCCCTGTTCTTTCCCAGGACCCAAGAGTCCCAGCCCCCTCTCGCCCTGATACTCGGGAATTCAAGAGCCCAGCTTCCTCTACGACAGGAGCCAAGAGCCCAGGTCCCCGGTTCCCCTCTTCCCCCAAGACCCAGGAATCTGGGTTCCCAGCCCTCCCCTCCTTTAAGGACCTCCTTTTTGTCTCAAAACCCATCAATCCCAACATCCTGGGTGCCCCCCCAGCTCCGGCCTCCCCAGTCAACCCACTCCTGTACACAGCATAGCCTGCCCCGAGCTGAGGAGGAGGAGGGTGCCAGAGATTCCTGGGGTGTCCCTGTCTCCATCGCTCTCCCCAATCCATCACAGAAGGGAGGAGAGGCCACTTTGATCAACAGCTCCCCCACCTCGAGTCCTGCTGCAGACGGCATCCCATTCCCCCCCCTCCAACACACACAACACGGGTCTCTCCCCACCCTAATCCCGGGGCTCGGAAGAGGCTGGAAGGGTATTTCAGAACCTTGAGGAAGGGGTGGCAGCTTGGGCAGAGGGGTGCTGGGGGCCTGGATGCCCTCAAGGTCCTTGTCAGGGGTATTAATAGCAGACTCATAGCTCTGAGATGGGAGGGGAGAGCGAGAGGAGAGAGGGAGAGGGCTGGCCGCGGTGGGGGAGACTGATGCGGGGAAAGGGGGTGCAGAGAGAAGGTGAGATGGAGAAATGGAGGGACAGAGAGAGACATGGGGCGTCAGGTATGTGGGGCTGGAGAGAGGCAGCAAAGTGTCGGAGAAATGGGGAGCTTAAGAGGTCTGAGGTATAGAGACCCAGGAAAAAGGGGCTCAGAGAGGGAGAAGGAGAGAGGGCAGAGGAGAGTCCCTGAGGACAGGGAAGCTGGGAGGGAGCAACGACCCCTGCCCACCATGCAACCCCCCTCCCTCCATGAAGCCCCCTGGGCAACTTTCCCTGTCCTAGATTTTGGGGTCTACATTCCCACCCCCACCCCTGCATCCCTTCCCCAGCCTTACCTTTTCATGACCCTGTTCTGTTGGGGGGATTGCAGGGGGGCCAGGACTGGAACCTGGCGTCCAGCGACCCCAAGATTCCTCGGAGAGCTCAGGGAGCCAGTAGGGGGGTCAGGCCCCAGGGCGGCGGCAGTGGCAGCGGGCAGCGGCGCACAGCAGGGACCTCCTGCCTGTCTCTGGCTCCGTCTTTCCTTCCTCTTCCTTGGTCCTGTCCTGCCCTGTCTGTCCCCCAAGGTTGCGGCCACCTGGACTAGGCGAGGACACGGCTACACATGTTGCGCTGGAAGTTGGGCCCCGGACATTGCGGAGGCTGTTGGGGTGTCCTCTTGCCACCCCGACCCCGTGGGGATCCCCCTCCGCCCACCTGGGGTGCCCCCCTCTGCCGCTTCAGCCCCGGCTCCTCCCCCCTTTCCATGTGTCCGGTCCCGCCTCTGCCTGGCTCATTCGCAACCCCCTTTTGTGCCCTCAGCCCCCCCTCCAGCGTCTGTGTCTGTCTGTCTGTCTGTCTGGGTCACCTCTGAAGCCGGTGGCTGATGTGTGTGCTTGTGTGAGGAGCGGGAGATCGCCTGTCTGGGGAACTGCTTGCCCCTTCCTTGCTTGGCCACCTCCAGACCCCCCCTGGACGCCCCCACTCACAAACACGGGCAGAAACACACACACGCACACACGCACAGCCTCACTTCCCTGGGATTCCCCCTCAACACCCCCGGAGCCTGAGGAGGGAAACACACACACGCACACACGCACACACAGGGGGTCCAATGGGGGCCAGGCTCCCACTGCCAGCAGAGGCTGTTCAGACAGACAGGAGGACACAGGCAGCCGGGGACGCCCAGATGCCTGGCCGCAGGCAGGAGACACAGAACCCAGGTACACACCATCCATCCGGGTTTGGGGGGCTGAGGGGGAGGACTGGGGGGCCCGCGACACCCCGGCGGGCGGCTCAGGGTCGGTACAGACAGACAGACCCCTCCCTCCCGCGGCCGCCGCAGCCCTTACAGACACACCCCCCCCTCCGCCCGCCGGCCCCAGACACCCGGGCACACAGATCCTCACCGGGCAGATGGCAGATGCACGAGAGACCCCTGGGGGCCGGGCGGACCCACCCAGGCCGACACCCCCAGCTGGGCACTGGTGGCCGAGGCAGGCTGCGGGAGGCTGCGGGTGCGGGTGCGGGTGGCGGCGGCGGCGGCCACGGCCGCGGCTTGGAGGAGCCGGAGCGGGAGGGACTCGCACACTCGCTCTGTTCTCACACACACACTCACTGGGGATGCGATTAACATTCAGTCCCCGTCCGTCCGCCCCTGCTGGGAGACCCACAGCCCCCCCTCCTGGCCTCCCTGGGGACCCCTCCTCCTGCCAGGGGTAGGGGAGGGGGGGCCGCCCCCAACCCCGCTACCGGCCTCTGCCTTCCTCCTGGGACAGGGGAGTGAGGGGCTGAAAATGAAAAGGGAGGAAGAAGTGTGTGTGTCGGGGGTCTGCAGGGACTCAGAACCTGCTATGGAGACACCAGCCTCAGACCTCCATTCTAGGGCTGGGAGTTGCTGCCCTTTGCCCCCTCCCCATTTGAGGCTGGGGAAGCAGGAGGCCTTTCCCTGACTTCAGTGTCCGCCATGCTAAGACCCGTCATCTGGCTTCTCTTGCCCCAGAAGGCTAGGCCTGCATACTGGGTCTCTATCGTGGACTTGGGAGTCCGGGCTCCTGCCGGTCCTCCCTCAGACCCAGGTTGGGGGCCCCCAACCCCTCCTCCCTCAGACCCAGGGGTTCAGAAACCCAGCCCCTCCTCCTCCAGACAGGTTGGGCGGCCCCAAAGCTCACCTCCGTCCTCCGAGACAGGGGTCCATGTCCCAGCCTCCTCGACCCAGGGTCCATGTCCCAGCCCTTCCTCAGACCCAGGTTGGGGGCCCCAGCTCTCTTCAGACAGGGGTCCATGTCCCGAGCTCTTCCCTCAGACCCAGGGGTCGCATGTCCAGCCTCTCCAGACCAGGGGTCCATAGTCCCCAGCTCCTCCTCCAATACAGACCCCAGGGGTGCGCATGTCCCAAGCCCTCAACCTCCTCAACCCCAGGGGTCATGTCCGCCAGCCTCCTCCAGACGCAGGGGTCCATGTCCCAGCCCTCCTCAGACCCCAGGGGTCATGTCCCCAGCCCTCCTCCTGAGACCCAGGGGTCCAAGCCCCTATCCCCTTCTCCCTCAGACCCAGGGGTCCAGACCCCAGCCCCTCTTCCCCAGACCCAGGGGTCCAAGCCCCCATCCCCTTCTCCCTCAGACCCAGGGGTCCAGCCCCAGCCCCTCCTCCCTCAGACCCAGGGGGTTTGGGTCCCAGCCCCTCCTCCCTCAGACCCAGGGGTCCTGTCCCCAGTCCCTCCTCCCTCAGATCCAGGGGTTCAGGCCCCTAGTCCCATCTCCCTCAGACCCATGGGTCCAGGCCCTCATCCCCTCCTCCCTCAGACCCAGGGGTCCAGCTCCCAGCCCCTCCTCCCTCAGACTTGGGGTTTGGGCCCCAGCCACTTCTTCAGCCCTGGGAGTTCAGGAGTACCTTTTCCACAGGGACCCAGGAATCTGGGGCCTCCCCTCTAAGCCCGAGTCCCTTTTGGAACGCAGGCATCCTGACCCTCCTCCAGCACAAACCACCTTCAAGGACCCAAGACTCACCCTTGGGCACCCAGCCCATCTACCCTTTTGAGGAAACCAAAATCCTTGTACCCCTTTTTTAATTGAGGGACCCAGTCTCTATCACCCATGAATACTCAGAAGGAAAGCAGCATCTGTCCCGTCATAGACACAGCTTGTGCCCCTGAGCGTCCCACAGGGCCAGCTGCCCCTCCTGCCCCTCCTGCCTGAGAGGTCAGGCCCAGCACTTCTATAAGCTACCCATGCAGCTCTGGGGTGGAGTGTCCTACGGGACACCTGGGCCCCTGAGGGTGGGGACTGGGAGGGAGCACGTGTGTGTGTGTGTGTGTGTGTGTGTGTGTGTGTGTAAGAAAATTCTCAAGTTCTGGAGCAAGGGCTGAAGCCAGAGCCATGGGCTTCTCTGAGGTAGTTTGGGTTCAATTTTTTGCCTTGAGCCTACTAGGTGGGATTCCTGCTTCCTTCACCCCCAAGGTCTGGGGAGGGACAGAGGTGAAGGCTCTGGTCTTAGAGGAAGGAAGGGATTGTGGATCTAGATTCCTGAGGCTAGGATGCTTGGGATAGAAGATGGTTGGGTTGGGACTGTAAGGTCCAAGGAAGGGCGTCTTGAGAGGGGAGGGGGCTGGGAGCCTTGCCTCCTCGGTCTGAGGGAGGAGGGGCTGGGGCCAGGGGTCTAGAGGAGGGGGGTGCTGGGGGCTACTTTCTTGTCTTTTGGGTGGATTCGAGCTGGAGGCCCCTGAGAGGAGAAGAAGCTGGCAGCCTAGCCTCTGGGTCCCTGTCCAGGATTTTTATTATGATGATTATTATTATTTTGAGACAGGGTCTCACTCTGTCGCTCAGGCTAGAGGGCAGCGGCATCATCATAGCTCACTGAAACCTCAAACTCCTGGGCTCAAGCCATCCTCCTACCTCACTCAGATTCTTCAGTCGTTGGAACTACAGGTGCGCACCACCAGGCCTGGATAACTTTTCTATTTTTAGTAGAGACGGAGGCTCACTCCTGCTCAGGCTGGTCTCGGAACTCCTGAGCTCAAGCAATCCTCGTGCCTCGGCCTCTCAAAGTGCTAGGATTATAGGCCAGATTTTTAAAACTCAGAGGCCAGCCTTCCAAAGCCCTGTCAAGGGCAGAGGCTGAGTGGCTGGGCTGGGTCCCTTACAGAGACACAGGCTGCCTGGGGGAGCAGGTGCCGGATTTGGGACTTTCAGAACCCAATGACCCTGCAAGTTCCCAAGAGGCAGCCTGGGGGATGCATTCAGCGTCGCTTCTGCAAGGCATGAGGTGGGCGATAGGGGGCGCCGGAGATCCGGGACCCGCCCTCAGGGGCGGAGCCTCCCCGCCCGGACTCCTCCTCCTCCCGCCCTCCGCCCTCTTCCCCGCTCCAGCGCGGCCGCCAGCTCCGGCCTCGGCTCCCCCTCCCAAACCCCCCCTCCCTGGAGCGGAGCCCACCCCAGGGTCCCTCTCTCACCCCCCGAGCCCAGCCGCCCGGCCAGAACTGCAGCCTCCGGGGGCAGAACCCCGCCAGCCTGCCTCCCTCCCGCTCAGCCCTGCCAGAGGCCCCCAGCCATGAATCTCTTCCGATTCCTGGGAGACCTCTCCCACCTCCTAGCCATCATCTTGCTACTGCTCAAAATCTGGAAGTCTCGCTCGTGTGCCGGTGAGAGGCCCACCTGGGCGGGAGAAGGGGAGAGACTGCTTGGGCGGGGGGCGTCCCAGGACTCGGGAAAGGTTCTGTGGACACTAGGGGGACAGGTCCCTCCCCCCACCGCTTGCTGGGGGAGCTTTCTTCCAGGTCCTGGGTCGCCAGGAGGTCAGCTCCCTTCCCCAGACTGGAGGGGTGCATACAGTTTAGTGAGGGTGGCCCAAGGCCCCCATTTCAGCCTCCCACAGCCCCAGTCTTGGCAGCCTGAGGGTTCAGGGACTGAGAACTGGGAGCCATGGCAGGCGGGAGGTGGCTGGGAGTTGATGACGTGGACCGTGGCGGCCAGGAAGGGAGTGGGAGGGAGGTGACGGGATCCCTGGGGGCTGAGGTCCGGTTGGGTCCTCCTTAGGTCCCACCTTGGGTCTGGACTGGGGGAGGACCCTGAGGGGGACAGAGGTTGCCGCGAGGCCTAGCCTGGGACTGAGCCTCGGGCTGGAGTAGCTTCGGGGGCCTGGGCTGCCCCCTGGCTGTGGGCTGTGGAAAAGTGCCCTGCTCAGGCGGCGGGCGGGCTGGGGAGGCCTCCAGGGACAGCTGCACTCCAGAGCCGCCTCCAGGCTGGTCCCAGGCACTGTGCCTTAGTTTATTGCCGGTGCAACCCACCCTAGCCCTGTCTCTGTCTCCCTCTCTGGACCACAGGGATTTCAGGGAAGAGCCAGGTGCTGTTTGCTGTGGTGTTCACTGCCCGATATCTGGACCTCTTCACCAACTACATCTCACTCTACAACACCTGTATGAAGGTAAGGGCTCTACTCCACCTCTCCGGGCTGCCCTGGGGCAGGGGAGCCAGGTGTAGGTCCCAGACTCCCAGGTTTGAGGGAAGAGGGGCTGGGGCCTGGACGCCTGTGTCTGAGGAAGGAGGGGGCTGGGCTCTCAGACTCCTGGGTCTGAGCCTCTTGGGGGTACAGGCCCTGCCCTGTGAGCTGAGGTGCCCTCTGGTCATCCGCTTCCTCAGGTGGTCTACATAGCCTGCTCCTTTACCACGGTCTGGATGATTTACAGCAAGTTCAAAGCCACTTACGATGGGAACCATGACACATTCAGAGTAGAGTTCCTCGTCATTCCCACGGCTGTCCTGGCGTTCTTGGTCAACCATGACTTCACCCCTCTAGAGGTAGGCCCCTTGCTGGGACTCCTTTGTTGGTTGGATGGGGTATGGCAGAGCCGCTAGGACAGCAGACCTCTTGGAGGCTTCCTCCTGCAGGTTGTGCTCAGACTGTCTTATTTTAGGACAAACAAGTTCAGTATATGGGCTCTGGGGTCCAGTGATATTAACACAATGGCAGCACATTCACTAGTGCTAGATGCTGGTCTAAGCATTTCACATATGTTAATTCATTGCTTTTCACAGCAGCCCCCATTTTATAGATGAGGAAACTGAGGCTTAGGGCATCTGAATGATTAGTCCAAGGTCATCGGCCTAGTAAGTACCAGACTGAATAGCTCAGGAATTGGAAACGGGGGCTCTAGAACTAGGCTGCTTGGATTTGAATTCCAGATCTGCTCCTTTCTATTAGCATGATCCTGGGCATGTTACTTGACCTCTCTGTGCCTCAGTTTCCCCATTTGTAAAGTTGTGATCAGGTCATTGTGAGGATTTACTGAGATTTTGCAGCATCATTTGTTGGTTAAACACACATGGACTCTAGAATCGGAGCACAGGGATTTGAAGCCTGCTTCTACCACTTGGCAGCTATGGGACTTTGGGCAAGTCACATAACTTCTCTGTGCCTCAGTTTCCTCACCAGTAAAAGGGGGATAATCAGTTCCTAATTCATAGGGGCTGATATCTATAAAGCACAGTGTCTGGCATGAGGTCTGTGTTAGTCCGTTTCCTGTTGTTATGAAGGCTGGATAATTTATAAAGAAGAGGTGTATTTGGCTCACTGTTCTGCAGACTGTATGAGAAGCGTGGTGCTGGTATCTGCTTCTGGTGAGGACCTGAGGAAGCCTCTACACCTTAGGCAAAGAGGGAGCAGGCATGTCACATGGCGAGAGAGGGAGGAAGTAGAACCAGGCTCCTTTAAACAATCAGCTCTTTCGTGAAGTAATAGAGGGGAAACTCACTCATTGGTGGAGGACACCAAGCCATTCATGAGGGCTCTGCCCGCGTGACCCAGACACCTTCCACTTGACCCCACCTCCAACGTTGGAGATCAAATTTCAACATGAGATTAGGAGGGGACAAATCCAAATTATATCATGGTAGGAAGTGCTACATCAATGTTTGTTCAGTGATGGAAGTAGTTAGTACCATGCCTGATACTTTTACTTGTAAATGTTAGCTGTCGTGATTTTCTTTTGATGGTGTTTTGGTGAGACCAAAACAAACTCCTGGGAGGAATTTTGGGAGTGCCCGTGCTAAGTTTGTGATCTCATGCCTCCTGGGGCTTGGCGGGAATCATAAAGTCTGGATAACCTTTTCTCACTTAGGCCTACACTA